TCCCCGGAAGTTAGCGCCAAGGCTAGCAGAGCTGTGGAGTTGCAGCATAATAGACCGTTCGTGACGGACTTTTAAAGGTAAGAAGAAGTTTAAAGATTTATATTGCGGATATTATCAGTACATCTGATTCAATTGAACATGTGTATTAAAGGATGTCAGTGGATTATCCCTAAATTAGTAGATTTAGGGAACGTTTACAGATAACAGATTAAGCTAGGATACCGAAGCAAGTTAGCAACACACGTTGAACAGCCTTTTAATTGTAAATTCCGTTCTCTTAATGTCTATTTGGTCCAACGTTGTTGAATTAGAGAAGAGGGGCTTCTAAACGGGATTGTATGCGGGGGTGGAGGGAGTTAAATATTAGATAAATATAACTTTGGTGCGTGTAAGAGTGAATGTTTTTAGCAGAGCCATATTGTGTCCTTGTGATTATGTTGATTATTACCTGTGTGTATAATGTTGCAGCTCAGCTGATTTTGGATTGATGGCAAAGGGAGAGGAACTTAAGTGAGAGTTAAAACACAAGGTAAGTTTAATACTACTGTTTTATATAAGTAAGCATACTAAACATGTATTATATCACTGTATTATATAAGTCATCTTGTTAGTAACCTACTGTATGGCAGGTGGAGGGGCAGTGATGTTACAGGTGGAGGAGCAAAACTGCAAGACTGCAAACTCACAAGACAGAGAAATCGAAGTTTGTTCTCCAGAGATGAGGTTGATTTCACTTCAATTTTTTCATATTTTCTAAAGATGTGGAAATGGCACAAAAAAAAACTTGAGAGCTGTAACCAAGACAACTGTAACAACATGAGTAGACAGCCACCAAGGTTTTTCAAGTCCCTCTCTTACTCCATTTTGCCAACCCAAACTTCCAGGTACATGACGGGACACCTTGCTTGTTTTTGTTGTTTGCGCTCCTCTGGCAGGTGGAGGGCAGTGATCCCTTCCCTTCTTCCCTCAATCTTTGAGACTAATGTAAGTAGAAGACATGGCACTGTAAATGTTCGAACATTTAAAATATTATACCACTTAAAAATAAGAAATATTACTTTTGTTACTAAGAGTTCATACTTATTATACCTGTGTCACCTTTCACACTATCGCTGTGATCATGAGCTATGGGCTTTGTAGATACAGGTCCCGGGGTGAATCGTGGTGCAGGGGCCCTTCTCTTTTTGACCACAGGGCGATGCACGAAGATGGTGGGTATAGCCTCTGCTCTCAGCCTAGTCTTGCCCTTTTTTGTCTTGACAAACTGGTCTGCATCAAAATGTGCCTGCGGAGTGACTTGAGGTTACTTCACACACAGAACAACTCAGTTTTGTCTGCCCACATACATATTCCATAGTGGTTGAATCAGGGCTCGAGCTTAAGGACGTCCCGTCGTCGAAAAAAATAGTGTCGGGGAGGATACAAAATAATTTTGGGACGAATTTGGGACGAGAGTTAAAATAAAAATACCCTGCTAACTCTACTACAAATGGCGATGAAAATGAAACCGACTGCACGTTTTGTGTAGCATATTAAACGTCCTTGTCAACATAAACACACACGCACAAAACATTTAGAAACCCGCGAAATACACACACATGTAGCTACAGCTGTGCCGCTGGCTGTCAGCCAGCCGCCCAGCTGGCTGTGCCCGCGAATTCCTGGCCCGCGAATTCGCGGGTCTAGCTATGTACTGAGTGTGTGTATTTCGCGGGTTGAGTGATGTACAATGGCATCCCGCGGAGGAATTCTGAAATGTTTTACCGTTACATCACAAAAACGCACAGCAGAACCAGACCCTGGAGCGCCGGCCTCTTTATTTACTTACTCCTCTTCATCCCCTATGGGTAATAAGGCTGAGAAGAGAACTCTCCATCGTATTTAGTCCTTAGCAATATGCTGCGTCTCTCCCCATGTATGGGATGGGTACCGAGCCCCGGTATTAAACGGGCCGGAATTATTAAAGACAGTGGTAACGTTAAGCTCCGACGTTATCGGACTTTTTATCGGTATTGGAGATATTTAAAAAATATATGTTATATGTATTATTGCTACATACACATTATATCGCATTTGCAGTTTTAGTTTCACCAACTCCGTTTCTAATATGCAATAAGACTACAACATGCGTCTATGATGCATTTTCGAGCTTTCCAATCCAGACGAGATCTCTCTCTCCCGTCTGTGTGCGAGGGGGCGGGGCCGTTTGTAAAGGTCTCCTGACTGTGTTACAGACTGTCATCCTGGTTAGTGGTTACTCTGGGTTCTGTCTTCAGGACAGTATTGGATTTTTTTTGTTAATTGGATGGGACTTGATTGGATTCAATATTAGAGTAATTTTCTCGTTTGTGTGTTTGTTTAAATATATTTGGCCTTTGTTTATGTGATTGAATGATTTACTCAAATAAAAAGGTTGATGAATTATCATCTAATAATTTGTATGATGTTTTATTCATGTTAAAGGTACGGTGGCCGGCAGGTGCAAACGCTAAACAACGGCCAAAAACACACACATAAGCAGGAAACACCTGCAAATAATGAAATGGAAAAACCAACAAACCCTGAAAACACATACAACAGAAAAACGCTGCATTTACAGAAATGATGCAAGCTAAACCTACAACACACAAACCCCGAAAACAAACGCAACAGAAAAACACTGCAAAAACGATATGCAAAGTCAAAAGCACATACAACCGAATAACGTTAAAAAAAAAAAAAGACATTACAAAAAAAAAACATTCCGGAAGTGCTTCAGGCCTCTAGGGGGCGCGCTACGTGGAACAGATTGATATATGACCAGACATAGAGAGAACGAACAAGAGGAAATAAAGTTCATTTAAGTGGAGAAAGATATAAGAAGGTAAGTTTTGTTTTGTTTTTATACATAGAGCGTCATATTTACGTAGCTAGCGTTAGCGTGTTTGATCAAAGAGTTTGCAAGAGCCATTGTGCACCTAAAGGTAACTCTTGACATAATATAGATATAGTATAGAACCGGGACGCCCCTCCCTACACGCAGATCACACAGACTGGGTGGGGTCTCACGCCCTCACCTCGTGGAGGGGGCCTCAACTGAGCCGCAAATGCGATGTGGTGATAAAAAGGAAATCAAATGTAAAAAGTTGAATTAAAATATTAAAACAGCAACACAACATTATTCCCACATTAAAAGACAGTCTGAAGAGGTGTGTTTTGAAGGTGGGGGGGTCGGTGCAGTCTCTGATGTTTAATGGGAGTGAGTTCCAGAGGGAGGGGGCAGCGATGGAGAAAGCTCTGTCCCCCCAGGTTCGGTGCTTGGTTTGTGGGGGGATAGACAGGAGGTTGCCTTCTGATGAGTTAATTGAAAGACCGTTCTTTAATACTATTATAATATTTAGGTAGCCGAAAAATATCCACTCTTTTTGACTTAACCTAGCTGTCCTACATTTTATTTTTCCACAGATGTACTGTCCATTCTGTGGTGCCAGCGTGACATCTTCGCATGGCTTTTGTGGTGTATGTGGCAGAGACATCACATTTCTAAAAGATGTGACTAACAAAGTCCCTGAGGAGATGCCCACCACTAGTGCACATCTAAGTGCACAGTCTAGCACCAGTGCAGGTAAATAGGTTGTTCGTTTTATTACCAAACAATAAGTATTTATAGAAAACTTGGTTTAAAAGTTTGAATTCTGTTATTATACAAATACATCTCTAAACTATGTGGCTTACCTACTGTTGAATGTGTTATAAGATGTTCCTCAGAAGGGATTGAGGATGAGACTCCTATTGAACATAATGAAGAGTAATGAATGTTTTATTCCTGTTTTTTTGTAGCAGGAAGCTCAGCTGTAGAGTCCTTTCAAAAATATAGGGAAATAAAAAAGAGGGAGAGACCTTTTTTACAAAGGGACGGCATAACTCCAAAAATAAACAGAAATTGGTTAAGGTATGCAACGTTTTCTATTATGAATACATCTGTCATTCAAATCTGCTCACCACACTCTCATATAATGTCCGAAAAAATGTTTTATTCATTTGCATATTATTGTCTTTTTGCAGATTTCTGTTGGAGTAATGAGGAGGATGGATGGCTGCCTTAAACCTGTGAGAGGGAGGTCACTTCCCCTTAATGTTGAACCTCAATGGGCATGTGAAGAACTGTTGGCTGCTGCCATAAAAAAGCAGAAAGCCTTTAACCAGGACTTGGAAGATGGTGCCCATGTCTTGTTGTACCCTGATGCGAGGGTGATAACAAATATCCCCGGAACGGACACCCCTTTCACAGTACAGATGTACAAAGAGGCCATTGGAAAGCCCTACCAACGAATTACGTTATACATCTGTACTCTTGAAGCCGTTGAAAACAGTTGTAAGTGCTTCTGACATATATTCCCCCTTGTTTAAAGCACTAAACTGTATAATAGTTCAAATGTAAACATAACAGTTGTTCTGTCTATATTTCTTAACACAATTCATTCCACCCATCATTCCTTTCTCTTCGTGGTTGAACTTATGACATCAAATGGTCTTTTATGAATAGTGGCAGAAGAAATGGAATTTAAGTATCAACAAAAGCTTCCAAACTTTCCTTCTGTTCAAACTAAATATAAATTCCCTCTTAAGGATTGTAATTCTAAATTAACCTTTTTTCTCACAACAATGTTGGTTTGTTGTGCCCTAAATCCTAATGTGAGAGTGAAAAAGACGGTCAACAATATAATGTACATTTCACAAACATTTTGTGTTTCGATTGAATCCTTTCTGATTGACGTCAATCCAATAATTCAGGATTCAAACCAACATTTGATGATAGGTACAGACGTAGGGGAACAATTATTTGTATAGTATTAATCATGACACTTTTATTTTCTTAGGTTACACTGGAACAACCTCTTCAAGTGACGAGGACAGTGTGGTTGTTGCAAAGTTGCCATCTGGAGACAGTCTTGCTGACACCCGTGGTCAGTTTGGATCTATCGTGGCATTTATTCTTAATTAAAGTGAATTTATTTTATTTCAGTCAGTCATTTGTGTGTTGTATGCAGGTGTGGGACTTTCCAAATGAACAGAGCACTCCCAGAATGGACAACAGTTTGCCAGGGTAAAATAAAACATTGTCAACATGTTATTTTGTGCCACAAGAAGCAGAATGTTTTAACAGTACAGTAGTTTGAATATATTTTTTGTTTACCTTTATCAGACCTCTCAGGCACCCACAACCAGCGTCTGATCGGGTAAGACTAATTAAACATGTAATTATACCATGTAGGTTTGAATTTGTGAACATGAAATCAATAAATACCTTTGTAATGTGTGCTAATGACACTGTCATTAGATAAACTGCATCATTATTTATTGGGTAAAAGTAGGATGGAGAACCAACCCCATTCCAGGAAGAGGTCCAATCTGCCCCGGGTCAGAACACCTTCTATAGGTAAACGATGTTGACAGTTGCATCGTGACACAGTTGTTTGGTGTGTATTTTTATTTGTACATTTGGTTGTTTGCATAGCCTCCCAATCCCAGTGGGTAATATTGCCAGGAAGCAGAACAATTATACTTTCATACATTTCCAAAGGACACCCACAACATCTTAGTGAAGACGATACAAAAAACACCCACAAATATTTTTCAAAGGTCAGATATTGTTTGTTGCATCCATTTCAAATGTTTACAAGGATTGTGCAGGAGTATGACAAAGTGCTGTTGTCAGTTTAGAACCCAATGTATTAAAAAAACCAGGAAGAGGATCGACATCCTTTTGCAAATATGACTGTCATGCATATATTATGTATTTGAAAGTAATTATTCAACTGTCTTCTCAATGCAGCAACTACACAACTGTGTATGCACTTATCATTATTGATAGTCAGTCTGAGCCAGAAGAGGAAACGGAGCAAACTGCAGAGGAAATGTATTAATTGTTACTTTTATCACTTAATTTTTTTATTCTATACTGTAAATCTTATTACTAGCTTCATCATTTAATATTACAATACATCACTTTGTCTTTCCCAGCACAGAATACCTGACTGCGCCAGACATTGTTGCAGAACTCTCTGCAAAAATTAAAAATAACTCTTGCAGCAGGTTTAATATTAATAGAGCCAATGTATGGGATGGAGAAATCCGCAGCTTCAAACGGGCCTCATTGGACCCCTCTCATCAGATGCAGGTTAAGTTTACTGACGATGAGGGACAAACTGAGGATGGAGTGGACACTGGTGGTCCCGAGCGTGAGTTCCTGAATATTTGATGGTCCACAGGACAGGAAATTCCTCAAGTTCGACAATGCAGGTAATGATGTTCGCAAATCTGTCTTATGTTCAATACTGTACTGTAAATATAGGAGCTGCTTATGGATTTTGCAGCTTGATTTACTTGACAATTAAATGATCTTATACTGTATATCTTTATGATAACGTGGCAACTGTTGGTTAACGTGATAATAATTTAACAAAAAATATCAACAGCTGCAAAAGATGACAAATACTTTCATGCTGGGAGGATGATTGCAACTTCTATAGTTCAAAAACACAAGGAGAAAAAGAAGAAAACATGTCATGGCTCACTGTCTCAAAATCTGATTCTAAATGTATAATGTTCTTTATAAAGATATAACTAATACACAATTATGAATGTATAATATAAGCTGTTTTGTGTATTTAATCATGCGTTGGTCTACAATTTAATGATGGCTTCTACATATTTCACATAAACAGACAATGAAAAAATGTGTCCTTCATGCTGATAACTAGTGTATGCATCTGCAATTAGTATTCTAAACAGAGTAGTGTGTTGAATCCTTATTTCTTGCATTTGAAACAGATACAATAAAAAAAAGTGAACTTACTGTTGTGTTCAACTTCTGCCAAAAACTGTACATGTTTGCCACAGGAGCCACAGAACACTTGAACTGTCCCCAGATGCTGGCCACAGAAAGGACACAACATGGCGGCCTGAAAATACATACATTGATGTAGTAAATCCATGTAATCAAGTCAATCAAAACACATAGTCTAAATAGTGGTTAGCTAAATAAATAGATACATCATGTTCACCGTTGAATCTGTGATTTGTCTCTCTCTCTCCTTGAATGTCTAATGCACACTACTATCCTGTCATTACTTTGTCCCTCTTCACATTTTGTCACTTTCTCTCTCTCTCTCAATTCAATTCAATAGCTTTATTAGCATGACCATAGTTACAGGCAATTGCTAAAGCTCTGTATAGTAGCAACATCTATACACAAATACATAAATATAAACAAACTGCTAAGAATTCAAATGTCCTTTTTCCGCGGTACTCACTATGGCCCGTGTTATTTGCCTGCACTTGATTTGTCATCTCTTTACAATGTTCTTCCCTCACTTTATCTTCTCTTCACGTGAAGCTCTCCTCCCTCAGCTGGTGTAGTAGTTAGGCACGCTAACGCTAGCTATATAAATATGACGCTCTATGTATAAAAAAACAAAACTTACCTTCTTATATCTTTCTCCACTTAAATGAACTTTCTTTCCTCTTGTTCGTTCTCTCTATGTCTGGTCATACATCAATCTGTTCCACGTAGCGCGCCCCCTAGAGGCCTGAAGCACTTCCGGAATGTTTTTTTTTTGTAATGTCTTTTTTTTTTGTAATGTGTTTTTCGGTTGTATGTGCTTTTGACTTTGCATATCGTTTTTGTATTTGCAGCGTTTTTCTGTTGCGTTTGTTTTCGGGGTTTGTGTGTTGTAGGTTTAGCTTGCATCATTTCTGTAAATGCAGCGTTTTTCTGTTGTATGTGTTTTCAGGGTTTGTTGGTTTTTCATTTCATTATTTGCAGGTGTTTCCTGCGTGTGTGTGTTTTTGGCCATTGTTTAGCGTTTGCACCTGCCGGCCACCGTATAAAGGTCACTTTGAATGATTTTAACTAATGATAATGTAGAAAAACTAACATTTTAAATTCGGGACGGCCCACATTAATTTCGGGACGGCTTAGATTGTATTTCGGGACGGTTCCGGGAGGATGGGAAAAAAAGTTAGTCAAGAGCCCTGGGTTGAATACACAGTATTAGGAAACACTTTATACTTACTGGACATGTTATACTCATTACATACTGTATATACTAGTGCTGGGGGGAAACGATTATTTTGAAAACGATTAATCGGGCGATTATTTGATCGATTAGTCGACTAATCGAACGATTATTTTTCTGTTGTTCAATTCATAAAAAACGTAATGTAAAAAAAACGTAATGTAAAAATTTTTTTTTTCACGATACTGTGTCTCAGGGGATCTTAATATTTAAGAACCTATTAATGTGTTATACCAGATTAACGGAAATAATCTCAGCTAACTGACGATACAAACCATGTTTACCAAAACAAAACACAAGTCTCATAAGAAGCATCTAAATGACCCCTGAGCGAAAAATGCTAACGGACATTGGCACAGATCTCAAGATAAAAGTACCCTTATTACTTATCGTAGCTGCACATACAAGATATCCGATTAAAGCTGAGACTCCACAGATTATGTAGGTACATAGTATCATCACTGAGTGATCCGGACTCGCGACAGGGGAAGCAAATACAGTCATCACAACACGTACCTTCACAGAGCTTCTAGGGAGATCGTCTCACCGCCGTAGCTGTCAATCTGATCAAAATACGTGTTCAATGGCATTCAAATGAGAAAAAACGCGGCTGAATCGGTTAATCCATAGGTTTTTAACGTCTCTGTATACAAAAATGATTGAATTTATAATCCATAATTCCATTTTAAATCGGAGAGCAAATGCTAGCTGCTAATGGTTGCCACCACAGCTAGCTGCTGCTTCCGGTCAAGCAGCAGTCTCAGTGAGATATAAATATATAAATATCTTTGCGTTTTGGACTAACTTTAAAATATTCCCATGCTTTTGAAGACCTGGGGCGAGATGTTTTCGTTTGAGGGCTTCGTGCGCAATCCTGTGAGGAGGAGTTGGTAGCCGTTTCAGTCTCCATTGTGTTAGAAGTGCGATTGCGAACTGCTTGTTGCTTTGGGTGACCCACGTGTGTGTGGCGTCATACAGTCTATGGTGTCGACGCGGAAATATGTCGTCGACGATATTTTGTCGACGCGTCGCTACAGCACTAGTATATACAATATGACCAAGAATGTGAGACAACTTTATAGAAATTCATATCACATATGTTACTGATGCCATTTGTCATACTTTGTTAAACTCACAAATAATAAAGTTCCATAACTTCAGTTGGGAACAAAGACCACACCTTATCTCCCCAAGGCAATTTCCCATCCAATAGGTGTGCTATATAGGTGTGTATAACCCTTTCTCCTGTCTGTTTATCCCTCTTTCAGCACAAGAACCAGAGGGGGATTCAATGGAGCCTGAATACCTGCACTGAGACCCTCACCCTGCACCCTGAGTCTCAACTCTCAGTGTTTTTCAAGCCTATCCCTGTTTTTTGTATTAAACAAAACATTAAGCTTTCCCAATGGTGTGGTTTTCGTTTTGTTAAAAAGTGCAAATGCAGTGTTTGTATATAAATCACATATTTTTTTGCTGTTGGTCGTGAAATTGCTCCTGCTTCCTCCGCTCTGTGTCAGTGGGGAAGCTGTACATTCGTACTCCTTTCTCTGAGCGATTGGAGCATCCCCAGGCAGCACAGCAAACCATGGTGGCGACTAGGAGGCAGCACAGCAAACCAGGACAACAAGGAGGAAAAGGCACAGACAAACTGCATGATATGCTATTCAATGTTTATTGAATTCCATGTATTTGCAATGGATGTTCCTAAAACAACACATTTAACATCATCATGCTGCTGCTGCTAGTCCTTTGATAGTCACCTGTCGGTCTCCTGTCCTTTCTGAAAGCCATAAAGATGACATTAGTCATTTAGATAACTTGTGTCCTCAATTACCATGGTTACTGAAACTACCATGAATTTAAGAAAATGGTAGACATTAATCTAATCTGAATTTTAAAGCATTACTTTAGATCCCCTCCCTCTAAATATATCAATAAACATTAGAAAGTGATGCTCCTGACTACCATACAAGTTTAAGAAGATAATATTGGTTTTAAAGAATTCAAAGCTATAAATAAACAGCAACAGGCTCTTTAACCAAGGCACTGTTAGCCTAACATGTAAACTAGTTGTTCACACTAATCCTAATATTATCACTTAATATTAGCAAATTCTATTTTATTTTTTAAAACATATTGATGTAAATACATACACATATCGATTTGTTGTATAAATATTGCAAATCAAAACCTTTATTCACTAATAATTACCAAAAATCGTAGTTATATCTCCTGTTATCAATGCATTCACATTGCCCGCCATGAACTTCCGGGGAACGATCCTCGTCTACATGAACCACGTGACGATAACCGTTTTTGGACTTCCGTTGTCATAACTCTTCTATTATATGGCTCTGGCAATAGTTATCCGGATAGTGTTTGCTACAAGAGACCGTTCCGTTTAGCTCCAACCGCTGGAGAAGCTGCAGTACATATCCAGGAGCCTGTACGTGGCGCTGTAACTTCCTCCACAAAAGCAGCGAAGAAGCATGGTTGTCATGGTTGCCCTTCTGTTTATTCTCCGCGGTGGGGGCCGAGGGAACCGGGCAGAGTTGTTCGCCAGTCAACGTGTATTAAAGTTTAAATCTTCCGACAAAATTATAAAAGTGCCGGTCAAAGGTCTTCTTTGTTATTTATTGAGCTTTAAAACAAATGAATAATGACTCTATATAATATAATAATAAAAATACACGGAGCCTCTCTTTTTCCACCCTCTCTTTGGACAGCGCCAGTGAGTGTCTCATGCAGCAGCTGATCCAGTAATGAGTGACCCGGCCGACAGTAAAAATAAACATATTTATAACTAGTTTAGGTAGTTTGAGAGGTGTCTCCGTCCTGTCAGATTAGACTTCACTCGCGTTTATGTCCATATCGAGAGAAAGATAAATAATCTGAATTCAGTGTGCAGTTGACGCGGGGGTGAGCAGCAGAGGTGGGGAGAGGCGGGGCTATTGCAAAATCATTATCAGAAAATGATCGCTGAAGCTGCAATCCATATCCACAAAAGCAGCGAGTAAGATCCCCCCCGGATGTGTAAGTCTGCTGTAGATGTTGCACAAAGAACTGTAGCATGGTCAGTAGCGTCCGGAGCACGATAGCAACTCTGCGATCCGCCATTGTTGTTGGTGGCGAAACACATCAGCAATGGCGCGGGGTACGTGGAGGTGAGCAGCAGAGGTGGGGAGAGGCGGGGCTATTGCGCAATCATTATCAGAAAATGATCGTATGGGGCGAACACACGGAGCGTTGCGTATGCCGTTCTATCCACCTTGGGACCCGTTATCGTTTCCTCAGTCGTTTAGTGCCGTATGCGGTCGTCCTCGTGTGGCCGAATGGTCTATACAGGGCCGCCCCTGGCCAACTTGGGGCCCCAAGCGACATTGTGAGATGAGGCCCCCCCCCCCCAACCGACAGGAGTGCACTTTTTTTTTTTGGAAACAAAGTAGGCTTGCAAATATAATTCCTGTTTATTATTATTATCAACGGTTACTTTTTTATACAGTGAGGTAAATGGTAAATGTGCATGTATGTTGTTCAGTATGGGTTTACAGGTGAATTTTGCATTTCCTGCCAAATACTAGCCTCAAAAAGATAAAAACATAATTAATGCAAATAAACTACTTCTAATAATGATAATCATAATCAATTAAATAATAAAAATACTATATTGTTTTATTATAATATAGTTGTAATATAGTCAAGACAAAACATGCTTATGACATGCTCAAAAACTGATATTTCTTAAATCTGTATTCTAGTTCCCTCTGTCAGCAATGTATCAACAACTACACACACATTTATATCAGTATTTCTCTGTGTTGTGGTTGACATGATGATGACTGTTAGGAGTTAAGGGGAGAGGCTGAGCATCACCATGAAATGTGCAAATTGACATAAAAATGAATAAAAGGGGAAAAAATGCTCCATGTTTTTTAAGCTGTAAACTTTAACTGTTATGTAAGCCAAGTAGACAGACAGTTTATCACTCTTCCTCCTGTACATTAGCAGATAAAAGGCATAACATAATGAATGAATGGTAAATAAAGAATGCTGGCAATAACTGCATCTCCATTAGCCTATATGCTCTGCAGAGACTGCCTTCTTCATGTCGTGAATTGCAGCTGATGTTTTAAGATGGCAATTGGCAATTTGACTTATACAACATTCGTAAGTTGTACATTTGACTCATACAAAACCCACCTTCGAGTGATGCACTAGTTTCTTCATGTTTTGTTTTTTGCGCCGGACTGAAACTGTCTTTTCACCGACATCTCTTCACCTGCACTAGTGGCCATTCATTGCAACGGTGTCGGGTTACAGACGTGCTCCTCTTGTCACCTCTCACTCTCACTCTCGCGGGGGGTGCGCGGAGAACTGAGCGGAGAACTGCGCACAGCAGCTGAGGCCCTCTGGGCGGGCCCCCCTGCGCAAGGCGGGGCCCCATGCAGCCTGCGTGATTGGCCTGTAGGGAGGGGCGGCCCTGGGTCTATATGACACTAAACAGTAACGCAAACGGCCGTTTTTGTCCTCGAGTGGCCGGGGCATGAAACGCTGTCTGCATGTGTGGCTCCTTGAAGGCCACAGGGTGCACCAGGCAGGTTGTGTAAGCACAAAGGAATTGAACGCCTCATGATAGCGGCCGATCTATCATTGTACCTGTTATCACAGAGCCCTACAGGGAGCAGGGGATGTTTAAAATGAAGGAAACAGGAAGCCACCTCCATTATCTCCTCACCTCGCTGACGGGAGAACCCCGGAGCCGCGCCTCATCGCTCCGTAATGAATGTATGAGGCTTCTAGAGTGAAACACGATCTCACGTGTTTTGTATTTGGCTGGCCTGGCTTAACGCTAGCAGAGCGCCTCTTTATCTCTTACTGCGCTGTTGCTATTTATCCTGCTGCCAGGGCTGACAGTGGCACCATTAGTCATCAGCAGCATGGTGGGGATGGGGCTGTGGCAGCACCGATTACACACCGCCTAATGTTTTTCCTTAACGCACACTAGCAGGGACCAAAGCTAAACCCAAGCTAGTAGACGAATACCCACACTAACCTTTTGAATATTTTCATACCCTTTAAATCAATAAGAAAAAGGACCATAGATTAACTGTTGTTTCATATACAATTTATTTCATTTGATAAAGCCATACACTTAAGAGTGAGACCAAACATTCTAGAAGAAATGTACATGTTTCCTTTTTTTTTTCTGACAGTGACTTCTTAGAATCTTTACAAAACATCAAATCGTCGTTGGAATAAAAACAACCCCACTCACTGAATCACTGAGGGCTCCACCCTCTCATATTACTGGGTCTGCCAACAATAACAGGAGGGGTGTACTCCTGTCATGGAGCAGAGAAGTAAAGCCCTGCATGGCCCTGAGACACACTTTATTTTGAGGCAGTATCAAGAGCCAATGGAAGAGGAATAGGGCCACATGAAAAAAAAAGTTTTATTTTTGTTCTGAGAAAAAAGTCAGAATTCTGAGATTAAAGTCAGAAATCTGAATCCAAATACATTTTAACATCCCCACATTTTTTTTCATGTGGCCCTAATCGTCTTCCGTATATAAATATAAGTGTTTCCCTAACAACATTTCTCTCTTTTTTTTCACGATGCTCAAGGTTGTATCCGGTATTATTTCCCACTTTTACTTTGTCCTATTTTACCCTTTCAGAATGCTTTTCGCAAGCAAAGAGATTATCATCGAGTTACAAAACTGGCAGTTGTAAAACGGCCTTTCCAATCTTCCTGAACTGCACAAAAGTAATTCCACGCTTGAAACAAGGTAACACTCATGTTGGCGGCCTTGCACATACAGTACAGTAGTTTCATAAATACTGCTTTAAGTACTAAGAGACATAAGGGGAACCCCTTTCTGTGCAGCTATGAAAAGAATATGTCATTCATCGGTCTGTACAGCACTTCTGGAGAGCAGTAAAGCAACAGAAAACTGCTTTTAAAAACTATTTGAAAGGACTTTAAAGTAGAAAAAAAAGAATGGATATTTCTTTATTTAACTGAATACATAAATGACAAAATACCCTAACACTGTCTTTGTGTGTTGAAAAAGTTTTTAAGAAAATTACTGAACATGCTCTAACTTTATTTCATATTATACAGTCATAGTGGATTAGAGGCTTCTAGTGGAGAGGATTGAGGCTTTTTAAATGATTGATGAGCATTGTAAATAAGGGAACTAAGCAACACTCTTCCCAAAAAGATACATTTTTTTCATTGATTTCTAGACAAGAAGGAGTATATTCAGAGGCACACCAAGTCAGATTTTTTAATTTAGTAGCACAGATTGATCTTTTCCTGGCTTTCCAAACTGTTAATCTTCCCTATGATTGATTTCTCTCAGCCTGAACGGCCATGAGTGGATTCAACCTGCGGAGGCTGTGAACAAAAATCACATTTTCTGTTGGGCTGCAGATTCATGATCTCAAAAGAAGAATATACAGCCTGTGATGTGCTTTGTTAGAAACCCCACACTTTCCACACCGCCACTGTATTCACTCCAAGGCAAATGAATTGAGGCGGTATCTGTCCTTGATGAGCACTGCAGCTCTGGGACCTTGATGAGTTTCTGCTGAAGAAAGCGTGTTTCTTTCCCCTGCGAGTAAACACAGAATACATTGCTGAAGAATCAGCTGCATACAGATTTGTGATCGTTGTTTAAAACATAAAAAAGATGCAGATGAATGTAAAAACGCTAAGGAATCAGACTCGGAAAAAGATTTCCAGGGAAGAATTACTGGCGCTTTAGCTTCATTCTGTGCACCCTCAGAAGAAAAGGAACATTGTTCTTTTACTGGGCATAGACCCATTTGCAAAAAGTCTAAATCCTTTTTTTCTGAGGGTGTATTAAACGAAAGAGTAAGGCAGTGGAAGAAGAATGAGCCTGAAAGCAGGGTTGTGTCATTTACAGTATCTTAAGAGTCGAACAAAGCATGAGTTATAGTAAGTCTTTTTTTTTTTTAAATAAGTGCTGAGACCAGAAACAATGGAGCTGCTTAGATCTACTCATCAGCCCCTCTTTGCTGAACGTCGTGAAGCAGACAGTCCCATGCACAGCAAGAAAAAGCTACGCTCCCCAGCACAGTTTACAGCACCGTGCTCTGAATAAGCCATTTCTAGGCATTCTGGATTTGTGCACATGCTCGCACTGTGTGGGAAGAATAGCTTTTTATGCGGTGACACATATCATGTAATGCAATCCTTGTGTAATCTATCACTTAGGTGTAATAATGTCTACAGCTTGCAGCTTGGCTCGTTGGAGCAGTCATTGTGGTTCCTGTCCACGTCCCTCTTCCTCAGCTCCCTGCCCGCCTTGTGCTGCTGGCTGCTGTGGCTGTGGCCGTGGGGGGGGGCCGCCGCCGATGGCCGCCTGCCGTGGTTCCCGTGGCTCTGGTGATGGACGTGCTCTTTGGCGCCGCCGTGGGACTCGTCCTCGAATGCGGCCCCTCCCTTGGTGTCGTCCAGGGCTTCGAAGTTGTCGCTGTTGGTTCCCTCTCTGACGGCACTCTCCGGCACCACCTGCAGGCGGGCTCTGACGCGGTGGTGGCGCGAGCCCACGTCGTCACTGAAGTCGATGACGCGGCACTCGTAGGTGCCCTCGTCCGATGTCTTGACCCGGGAGAGCCGCAGTTTATGGGAGATGTTGCTTCCTACAACCTTAACAACCTGGTAGAGATAAAACAGATGAAAATAAATAAATAATTTGATTACACCGGGAATAAACCTACTTAATACAAGCTTGAAGAACTTTTGGTGGCCACATATTTGGCAATTACAGGATAATTGTATCCTGCTGACCAATCAGAGCTCAGTGTGCGGAGTTTAAAGTGATCAAGTCATATTACAGGAGAAAGGAAATACAGAAAAACTGCCGTTGCAGGAAAGATGGCCGGCAAAAATCACCGACTGTGTGAAGGTGAACATTAATAGAATATCACCTCCCATCTTCAGAGCAATCTGACTATTATAACATTAGCGTTAAGAAAGCTTACTTAAATATCTGCCACAACATAAGTAACCGGATCAAAGTAACATTACGTACAGTCCACAGTACACTGTGAGTGCAGACATCAATGTGTCCCATTATCATTCATATCACATCATATCACATCATAATGTATCATATATTTCCTTATCTGAGTCAGCTGAGCCGTATCTGGCCGTGCAACACTCACAGTGTCACATAATGTATGCAGAAGTATTATTTTAAGCAACACATTAAGTTGACGAAACACTCGAGACAAATGTAATTAAAGTCAGATCCACTCGTGTCGGGGCAGTGATATCATAAACCTGCATTCAAACACTTTTTTTTGTACCAGTATTCACCTTGCAGGTGCAGCTATGTGGCTTTTATCCTGGATAAATATATATATATATATATATACTATACTATGTGTTTTTTTAGTTTTTTTCGACATACCATAAATCTCGTTTCTTTGCATATTTTCGACATGCTATATGTTGTTTTTCCTATATTTCGATATACCTTACTATGTTGTTTATTGTCGACGTACTATACTATGCCATTTTAAGAAATATTTTCCACATAATATACTACCTCGTTTTTTTGCGTATTTTCGACATACTTTACTATGTTGTTTTCTTATATATTTTTTACATAATATATGTCGTTTTCTTATAGATTTTTTCGACACACGATACTACGTATTTTTTTTAAATATTTTCGACAGTTATTTTTGTCAGTTCTTTTTGTATATTTTATAAATAACTAGGTAACTATAGAATAAATAGGGTAAGAGAAAATCGTATACTTGTATACTTTATCTTTTAGTTGTTTTAATATGTTCATTTAGGCAGATTTAGTAAAACACAATATGTCTCTGAACTCTGGATGCCTATCATAAATAATGCATATTTTGGAAGACAGATACTGTACATGCATGCAGTGATAGAGAGGTACAAAGAATATGAGAGCTTCAGCAAAGATGTATTGAAGCCTGGATTCCCTCTAGAGCAACTCTCAGCAAATTACTCCTACACACACACAAACACACACACTCAGATAAAGCTGCTGCTTAAAAAAATATATTTGTGGCTTTTAAAGTAGAAGTAAAAGCTTTGCAAGTTCAAAGATAAGCACTGTTGAGATGATGAGAGTCTGGGGACATCGTGGCATGTGACGCACTGAGATATAAATACAACCTTGTTTATCATCCACCTTCCTCTTTGTGACGGTAGCATGCAGTATGTTTGCTGCTCCCTGCATGTGTGTGTGACAATTAGTGGAAGCTTAATGCTGTTTGGTAGCACTATTCATCAGGCATGTTTTCATACTGCTGCACGAATGTGGGCCAGCATTCATTATATACACACACACACACACACACACACACACACACACACACACACACACACACACACACACACACACACACACACACACACACACACACACACACACACACACACACACACACACACACACACACACACACACACACACCTGGTGCTTTCATTATAGCGAATCAGCAGCATCTAGCCTCATGGGAGGAAGAAGAGAGGCTTCATGTTTTCTGTGTGCTTTTGTTTCCTCACAACCCATCTTTGCGTGATATTTTTAACTTAACATAGCATTTTATTTTTATTTTTACATACATAACTGCTTTGTAGCAATTTAAAGGGGCCCTATTATGCTCCTTTTTTGGTTCTTTTTTTTTAATTGTGTGCTGCTTCTTGGACCGTGGGATTGTAGCCTTTGCAGACCATTTACATGCACAAAAACCAATGAAACAAGACAGGAAAGGGAAACCCCCAAAAAGCACAACAGGGCCCTTTTAAAAAGTAGACAGTAGCATGTGTTGGTTATGTGCAGTAGTTCATACATCCTGCTGAATTCTACAATAAAAACAAGTAAACATTTCAATTGTAGTTACTTCTCTGTTGGGCCTGGCTGCTTGTTGTGGGAAAGCTGTGTGCCTAGACACCGGAGAAGATATACAAAGTTCTGCTGACTTCCCACACCGTCCCCCTCATTGTTTATTATTCAGATTGGGTGTGTACTCATAAAGATACAGGAAGTGTTTATGAGAATCCAAAGATGATGCACTGCAGGTGGTGCCCCCTTAAGGAGGACCCTCCGCCCCCCACATCAGCGCTGCCGGCTCTTCAGCTGACACTGTGATTCTACATCCCATAAAGGACGGAGCATCTACGGCAGCTGAAACTCAGATGTGTGTGTAACACAGCATAAGTACAACATCTGCTGATCATTCAGAGCAAGATGTTTTCATGTAATCATAAAGGTGTTGTGGCTCATTTCACAATATTACACCAAGGATAAACATAAGGCTTCTCTCAGAGAGGTTTAACAGATTACTTACACTTATTTTTGTAGCATCCTTTGGCATCTCCTCATCAGGAGCCACCTAAAAAACATACAATGGGAATATATGAATCCAAAATTCAACAGAAAAAAAGATCCCATTAATCCATGCGAGAAATGTACTACATAATGATTTGTTGCATTTATTGAGCTAGGATTTCCTCAAATGTTGGTTTTTAAAGCATTATGCTTTAATCAGGAATGCTGTTTACCCTTTCTATTTTATAGCTGCATTTATCATTTTGTTTTTAATTTAAACATTGAGCTTATTTTTCTCTCTTTCTTGATGACTGAAAAAGCTTCAAAAGAGTTAATACTGGACCTGTGTTTGTCTGATAAGTCTAAATGAATGCTATTGTCTCTTTATGTTGCTAACACAAAGCAAAACATATTTTGACTTGGGGAAATGGTCATTGTTGCTGGACTGTCTCCCTGTATTGATTATTCTCTACCCTAATGGCCACCCATGTAATAATTGTAATAATAATAATAACATAATTCAGCTTCAAAAGGACAAATAAAAGCTTTAAATTTAAAATCACAGTACATAAAGTGTTGTAAAACAAAGAGTGACCTTGGGAAGGATAATTTTATTTCAACTTGGATCTTATTTTTGTACATTTCAATTGGTACAAAGGGTACGAAACATAATCGTTTAAACAATCATCAACAGTTGAATAATCTAAACTACATATTGGGAAATGAAAACAACAGTGGGCACAATGAGCTCTGGTAACAATAATGCATTGCACAGAAAAGCGGTCTGATCCACAACTGCAGTAAGAACGTTAAGTCAAATTTGAACCATGAAGTGCGTCTTTAAACTGTGAGGGATATTTACTACTGTTTTAGTAATCATTTTGACTTTAAGCTTCATTTTCTTGAGTTGTTGATTGTTTAACTGCTTGTGTTTCTTTCCCTGTCAGACATCTTCTTTGAGCAATGTTGCAGTGTTCACCTTTAGATTATATAACTAACTTTATTGATCCAATTTAAATTAGCATTAGAAGGCATTCAGAGTTCCTGTTATGGTCATACCTCATTGGTTGTCCAGGGCTGTCTGTCCGTCCAGTCCGCATGGTTCCTGATGTACCACCACTGGATCTCCAGAGAGGAGGGGGTCCCGGCCCCTCTGAAGGAGCAGGCCATCTCCACGTCCTGACCGCTCTGAGCCATCATATCATGAGGCACCTCCGTGAACATGGCTGCACAGAGACAGAGACAGTCAACAGGTGTCAGTGTGATAACACATATTAAAGCAGCCCTAACACTGATCTCAAACATGGAAAAAGGTGACATCTTCCACAAGTTCCTGTGATGTTGAGATTGATTAAAAGGGGAGGTGGGGTGTGTGAGTGTGTGTGAAAGAGTGAGGGAGGAGTAGATAACTTATGTTAATTACAAGTTGTTTCTAATTTTGGTGAAGGCTTTATGCAGTGTCTTTTGAGTAAAGATCCTACATCTAGTATTTTAACTTATAAAAAGCAACAAAGGCTGTCTGCATCAGCATTCAGGAAGATCCATTATCACTGTGAACTGATTACAAAGAGGGTAAATAGGTACATTTTCATAAGGCTTGATCTGGAATGTTGTGAAGATATACAAAGTCAAAGAAGACTTCAATTACAGGTTTATACAGGATTACGTATTATATTAGTGTTAGTTTGTATAGAAAACTTGGAAAATGTCAGATTGTCGACGACACTGGGAGAGCGCAGATGCTGCATTCAAAGGCTTCTTAGATAAGTCGAATATGTGACACCACCATTTCGTCACCACATGAATTGCATCACGAAGGTTGAATCTTACAATGTTAACGAAAATGAAACCTAATCTGTGCATCTGCCCCGTGATTTGGATCCCCACGGAAAGTGTGGCTGCCATTAGACGCACTGAACAGCTGTTTGTGTGCTTTGGAGATGGTGTGGCTGGAAAATCTCTCTCCAAGAGGCACCTGGCAGGATGGCTCTGCGAGTGCATTACACATGCCTATGGACGGGCGGAGAAAGCCCTCCCCACTGGGGTCCGTGCACACTCTAGACAGGCTGTGGCTATGTCAAACAGCCTTATTCAGCGGTGTGAGTGTAGAAGATATATGCACAGCGGCGTCTTGGTCTACGCCAGGCCCCTTCATAAAGTTGTATCTCTTGGACATGTCTGGCTCCTTCTCGTCGTCTGTGCTTGCCGGGGCAACACATGACTGGTGAGAGGGGGGGGGGGGCTGTGGGTCAGACAGGGTATCTGACCCCCCCCTGGACATAATGCACTTATGTTTTTCCCATGCTCCTTGGGGACCTGGGAAACATGGTGCGCAGTGAGTCCCATACAGGGCTGGAGGACTCTCCCCACAATTTTTTTCCATGCACACTCTACACGAGGTAAGCGTGTGTGAGTGTGCCTTATCCAAGCGGCGGCCCCCGACTTCTCCACGGTTACAACCGGATGGGAGGAAGTGGGGATGCGGTGGATGTTAGCCAAAAGCCGGCCAGGGGCAGTGTGATTGATTGATGTTGTTGGACGACAGGGCGTTTATACATTGGGGCTCCACCCACTGTACCCAGAGTCCAGTAGAGGGCGGAGCCTGTGTGATATATAACGGGGGGTTACGTATGGTAACCCTAGTTATATAAGCACAGGCGGAGCCCTCTACCTGGGGGCCCTGTCTTTCCTATGCCGCTCGCTGAAGAGGGTGTAGTAGGATGACGGTCGGGAGGCGTAGCCGCCTTATATACTGTGGGCCTGCACGCGCATTCAGGTAGGCTCGCCCCGATTGGCCGGCTACATTTATGCAACTCAGTAGGTGAATGCACGCATAGCATGATAGAGAGTAGTACCCATAGAGTCCAGTAGAGGGCTCTGCCTGTGCTTATATAACTAGGGTTACAATACGTAACCCCCCGTTTCTTCCTTGGCCCATGCTACACCTTTCCACAAAGTTTCATGACAATAAGGTCATTATTGTTTCTGTAATCTAGAGGGAACAGAAAAACAGACCAAGCCAAAACTCAACATCCTTGGCAGAGGTAACCATGTCAACTACTAAGGCATGTACTGTACCATTTATGGCAGTGTTGTTGCAGCTGATATCAAATTGCCAGCTCTATCTGTTCCTACAGTGGTGAACTCGTCCGGCATCTCCCCCTCCTGTGCAACTTTTTATTCACCACACCTAAAGCGAACTTAGAACATTTGTCATGGGTAATTTGTGCTGTTACACTGAAGTAGTTATGGTTCTTACTGATGTCCAGAAGTCTCCAGTCAGTGCATTACATGTCTCTTGTGCCAATTTCTCTGCTTCACTACCATACATTTAATGGTGGAAATCTGTGCTGGCAGTACGGGAGGAAGTTAGGGTCAAACTTGGTAACAGGATTCAATTTCATACTTTTTTACACATCAATGTTTACTGATTTATCGCAACCAGAGATGGGGTCGTTACTAAAAAAAAGTAATATATTACATATTACTTTAAAAAAAAAGTAATATATTACACTACTTCGTTACTCTCTACATCAAGTAACTCGTTACTTTACTCGTTACTTTACTCGCAGGGCCGGCCCGCCCCTCCCTACAGGCAGATCACGCAGACTGCGGCACCTACAGTGTAAGCGCGCCACAGTTTTGCCTCTGCAAGACTCCACTTGCACCCACAATTACTATTGCATTAAGGAAGACATAACACAAGTATTTCTTTTTATATGCTCTAAAATAGGCCAGCCTACCACAACAAGCTAACAGTCTTTGAAACGTCAAGACACTAATTAATGAAACCAGTTCAAGACGCATTATTCTTATCATTCTTTATGAGCGCAGTAACGGTAAGGTATCCAATTACTTATTTATTTAGTATTCCATAACTTAGTAACAGAGATGGTCAAACTAAAGTGGTAGAGACATGGCAGAATTCCTACAATGAAGCAGGACATTGAACTGTTTACCCGTGAGAGGGCGATCAACAAAAGAGAGCGAGCGGCCCCGTTGAGGGAGTTTACAGATGAAAAGACTCAGCCATGTTTATGCAGCACTGCACGTGGAGATGTGGTCTCGCAAATCGCGCAGATTACATAGGCCTACATGCAGGGCCGCCCCTCCCTACAGGCCAATCATGCAGGCTGCATGGGGCCCCGCCTTGCCCAGGGGGCCCCGCCCAGAGGCCTCAGCTACTGTGCGCAGTTCTCCGTGCAGTTCTCCGCACACCCCCCGCGAGAGTGAGAGGTGACAAGGGGAGCACGTCTGTAACCCGACACCGTTGCAATGAATCGACATCTGACCAATCACGGCTTTGATACGGCCACTAGTGCAGGTGAAGAGATGTCGGTGAAAAGACAGTTTCAGTCCGGAGCAAGCAAGAGGGGAAAATCATCATGGTGACGCTCAGCCTCTCCCCTTAACTCCTAACAGTCATCATCATGGTGACGCTCAGCCTCTCCCCTTAACTCCTAACAGTCATCATCATGGTGATGCTCAGCCTCTCCCCTTAACTCCTAACAGTCATCATCATGGTGACGCTCAGCCTCTCCCCTTAACTCCTAACAGTCATCATCATGGTGACGCTCAGCCTCTCCCCTTAACTCCTAACAGTCATCGTCATGGTGATGCTCAGCCTCTCCCCTTAACTCCTAACAGTCATCATCATGTCAACCACAACACAGAGAAATACTGATATAAATGTGTGTGTAGTTGTTGATACATTGCTGACAGAGGGAACTACGTTTGAATATAGATTTAAGAAATATCAGTTTTTGAGCATGTCATAAGCATGTTTTGTCTTGACTATATTATAATAAAATAATGTAGTATTTATATTATTGCATTGATTATTACTATTAGTAGAAGTAGTTTATTTGCATTCATTATATTTTAATCTTTTTGAGGCTAGTATTTGGCAGGAAATGCAGACGTAAATTCACCTGTAAACGCATACTGAACTACATACATGCACATTTACCATTTACCTCACTGTATAAAAAAGTAACTGTTGATAATAATAATAAACAGGAATTATATTTGCAAAGTAGCCTACTTTGTTTCCAAAACATTTTTTTTTCACTCCAGTCGGTTGGGGGGGGCCTCATCTCACAATGTCGCTTGGGGCCCCAAGTTGGCCAGGGGCGGCCCTGCATACATGTATATAAACCTGCGGCGGAAACCCCTCTTGTCTGTCAGTGAGTGTGATTATTTTATAAAAGTAACGAAGTAGCGCGTGTCGGGGCAATGTTAGTAACTGTAGTGTGATTACTGAATTATAAGTAACGCGTTACACTACTCCGTTACCGACAAGAGTAATATTATTAAAGTAACGCGTTTGTAACGCGTTACACCCAACTCTGATCGCAACGATTAACGTATTAACGTATTAACTTTAACAGCCCTACTAAGGAATGATCCTACATGAGAATCTTAACAAAACCCAACTTGCTTGGAGATGGACGTCTCTTCTACTTTACTAAGCCTTCTGCCACTGTGAGGACATAAAATGGGTGGATCGTTAGAAATGACAGATTTCCATTAATTATAGTATGACAAGAAAAGTGTCCTCTACACTAACATTTCCTCCCGCAAAGAAATGACAGGCGATGCCAGCATCAGCAAGAAAGATTGTTTGAAAGGGGCAGGGTTTGACACGACACCTCTGCTACAAAAACATAGCAACAAAAGGCCAATAGCAAAGCCTTGAAAACAATTAAAAAGACATCATTTAAAAAACAAGCCCATCAGGACCTCAATAGAACTCTGGTGAGGAAACCATGAAGTGAAGTCGTTTTAGCTTTAGTGACACCACGCAAACATTAAAGCTAAATATACACTTACTGTTGAGCCCTGCATGCTGCTACTTTGACTGAATGCTCACAAGCAACTTAAAGCATATAGGGATTGTGCTAATTAAACTTATTACATAAACATCATATATTAGCCTGCTTATCATTGTTTAAAGAGACCTGTTGACTCTTCTTGTGTTAATCACAAAGCTGTCACTTAGTGAGCACCAATGTCACTTTTTAATGGCATTTGTCAATGATACTATTCTCATTTTAGTGTATGTAACTCCTATTAACTATTTATTCTTATACTTAAGCAATAGCTCACGACAGGCCGTGGTATATGGTCATTATATCCGCTTTGCGTCGGGCCGAACAACTCCCCTTGGCTGTGATATAATGACCATATATCACGTAGCTCTGCATGTCGTCGTTTAGGTGCTTTT